AAGTATTCGGTAAGGCTGTAAAGAGTAATCAGTAACATCTCATAGAAGAGTTTCTTTGCATAAAATTCAACCAAAATTGCCTAAATAGATGTAAAGAAATAAAATATAAATTGACCTGGTTTCACACCATTCCCAGAAACTAAAATCACCAAACACACGCATGACACGAATAACAATCACATGTTCACATGCAAACTCTACTTCGCAATTCACATACACGTACATACATCCCATTTAACACGTTACATATGTCCACAATCTCTTTCAACAACTTGACAATACAGAATCATCGTCCAATGCAAAAGAACTTTGATCCTACCTAAGCTTGGATATTGTAAATTTCGGTGAATACGATTAACTTCGATAAAGCTATTAACACTATAATATAACGAAAAGTATATTGACTGATAGCGAGAGAACGGCTAATTTCATGCTGTCTAGTTTTGAGTGCTGACCGAATTCTGTCTATCATTCTCCAGTGACCAATCAACGTATGTAACCCAGTCTTTCAGGAGGTCAATTGCGGCTCGAATAGCTCAGTGGTAACGTCACTGAACACAACCCTAGGTACGAATCTCAGGCGGGACATAAGCTTCGTTGAGGTTGCAGGCACGTCTGTTGACGAGTCCTAACAAGCCTGAAACCTAGATCCAAGACTTCCTGTCGATGGCCTCCAACAAACTAACTTATAACGAAAGGTGAGTGAAAGCTATCATGGATTGCTTATTATTCATTATGAAGTGCAAGTACAAACACTGGTCGAGTAACTGGACACAAGAGATGTCGCTTGCGCTCCAGTGGCCTAGTGGGTAACGTTCAGGAGTTCGAAGCGATGGGTACTGGATATGAATCTCAAACGGTGCAACATCACTCACCGAGGTGCATGCAAATCCAGCTGGTGAGTCCAAGGTAGGACAAAACGCAGGTCTTGGATTCTATCGTTAGTCACCAAGTTGAATACAAAGATCAAAACATGCTTCATCTTGATACCGCATAAGCATGACTTGATGCGATGTTCCAATCAGTTATGACTGTTGGGTTATGCTTTGTCTTAACTAAAGTTTGCCAATATTTTCAGTCATCACTAGGCTTTAGTCACAAAAGGCTATAAAACTTATGCTTCCATGCCTTACTACTCCTATCTGCATAACTCAATAACAAGCTATTGCATGAATACGAATAGAGTTTTCTTTTACTGATCGGTTTAAGTATCTACGCCACTCAAATTCTATTTATATATTCACAAGTAACTGAATTTTCTCAGATATTTTAAGAAGATATCTATTGCTGATAAACAAAACGTGGTTACAGCGAAGATAATGATCGTTTTGACGACTCATTTACACAACCGCATACTCATAAATACATAAGTAAGCTTATAGAATGTTAAACATCGTTCCCTTTAGGGAATGAAACAATATTACGTAACACAAGGTGTGGTCTTAGTAGTTTTTACAAAATAAATTGAACAGTAAGATTTGGTATCTGGTAAAAATGAATAAATAAACAGAAGTGCAAGGTATCTACTTAAGGTCATGGTGAAGTGTGTTTTAAAACGTTTATAAAAAAATAAATAATTGAGGTTCGAAGCTGTAAATTATTAATGCTACGGTTGTACTTAGGTGTCTAATTCTTAACTCTTTTAAACGATTCGATCCAACTTTGCAGAGTACTCGAAATAAGGTTTCTAGAGTTTACGAGGTGTTCATCTTTTGCTCAACCTTCAGTAACTATGTTAGGTAATGTTTGAAAGTGCGTTTTTTAAGCTAGTGCATAGTACGATCGACGGTACTCAGCTTTACAGAAGTAAGTGAACTTCAAAATAGGCATTCACAAGGCTTAATGCACCAACTTGTCTTTCATGCCCTAACGAATCAGCTGTTGATATGCGAACATAATAAACAGGTTCGGAGTATAGAATGTTCTACTTTAGGACTTTGACCAACGTTGAGCAAGGATATTCACAGCAATATCACCTTCGATTCTGAGGTCCATTAAAAGTGGTTTCTTCTAACTTGAATAAATCTGTTCCATAGTTTTCTTTGATACTTTTCTCTATAAATCTGGATGGGTAGCCATTCATTCTCTACTAGTGATTCTCACAGGGTTTCTAATTCCCGACCAAGTGTATCATCATATTGTACCAGTCGACGAGGTCTGTGATTGTTGGCGTTAGTAGAATAGGAAGATGTTGATAATCTGGATGCAACCCCTGAGATGAAAGGAATTAGTGACTGAGAACTGACTCCTAGTGACATGGCTGAAAATCGGTGACAACTACACAGATGCAGACACTTCATAACATCTTCTGAAGCTCGAATATTTGTCCTAACCGTTGTCTTCAAATTGTTTATTCTCTCACACAACTTTGCCTACTTTGATGTCAATTTTCTTCTCTCCACTCGTTTTTTGTGAACTGTGAAATGTGACAAACTCAGCCGCTGCACTTGTGTACAAGGCTCCAAGTTAATTTTGTCTGCCTGTATGGCTGTATCATCACTGTATTTCTCACTGACTACTGATAAGAGTTAAAGCGGAAAGTCCGTCTTCTTACTTAAAGGCCTCCAACTTTAAAAACTGATCAATTGCCCATTCCAAGTAGGCTTCTATTATAGATAAAAAACTTAAAGAGAGCTGATTATCTGAGAATACGTTAGTTAATTTCCCGTGTCTTTAACGATCAAAGGGGTAAGATAGAGATGTTTAAACTACCATGAAACCTGAAATTGATATTTCCTTCTTTGAAGCAATTTTATAAAACCATGCCAAACACAACGACCGGAACAGGCAGGATTCAGGAAGTACAAATCATGTGCGGATCAAACTACAACGCTACGCATCATCATAGAACAGAGCACAAAATGGCAGTCACATCTCTACCTCACCCCAACTTCATCGACTTTGAGAAGGCCGTCGACAGTGTCGACCGACAAGTAATTTGGAAACTGCTCCAATACTACGGAACTCCGCAAACCTTCAACGACTATATGAAGACATCACATGCCAGCCAAGTAATTCACAATGGGATGCTCAGTGATACCTTTGAAGCGGAAGTGAAGACAGGAGTGAAACAAGGCTGTCCACTATCACCCACGATATTCCTGATTGTGGTCGACTGAACTGGATCATGCAACAAACAGTGAGGAGCTGTGAGAAGAGGGTGATACGCCGCTGGCTGGACTGGGCTGAGGAAAAGAACCTAGAAGATTTGGATTTCGCCAACCATGACTTGTGTCTGATATCACACAAACTCGAAGATCTACAGGCAAAAACCAACAAGTTGACAGAAGAGGCAGGGCAGGGCAGGGCAGGACAGGACAGGACAGGACAGCGAAGAAGGGAGTTCAAGTGAAGGTAGAGAAGACAGAGGTGCTGATGATACCCAACCAACAACAACAAGCTCCAATCACCATCAACGGCAGAAACTCAAAGGAAGCTGTCTCTCTCACCTACATGGGCAGCATAGTTTCAACTACAGGAGGCACAAGCATAGACGAGGATGTCTAAACCAGTCAGGATCGCAAAGACAGCAAGACAAGTATCCATTCAACTGAAACCAGTGTGGACATCTTCTGCATTCAGCAAAAAGCGTCAACAATATCCGGATTTTCAACATCAATTCAGTCAAGTAAGTCAGTGTTTCTGTGTGATAGTTGAGAGACTTGGCGTGTTACGAAAGGCACTTCCAACAAACTACACACATTCTTCAACAACTGCCACCTACACTGGCTCGTTACTCAAGATCCAATGGATTATCAGAATAATGAGAATAAGCAAGAAGAAACTCATTGTGACTGATTGGCTGGCTGGCTGGCTGGCAACGAACCAACCAACAACCTATCACTCAACAAATATGCACTGGAAGGAAGTGGAGATGGATTGGTTTTGACATGCACTGAGAAGATCATTCGGAGACATCACGCGTGAGGCCAGTCATTCGAGTGGAACTCAGATGGGAAACGATGATTTGGGCGTTCGAGGTGAGGGTGACATGCAGGAGATCGTGCGAGGAGGAAATGAGAGGTTGTGGGCTGTCGTGGAACCAGGTTGAAAAGATTGGAGAGAATAGAGTGCATTGAAGACGTGCTACTGAATCCCTCTGTTCTATTAGGAACCCAGGGGACAAATAATAATCATAGCTTCGCCTCTCAGTAAGAGTAATTATAACTGACTTGCTTTAGTAACAACTTAACAGAAGTAGGACATGGTCAAAGAGAAATGACGGTATGGAATATATCCACTTTACTTTCATACTAAATGGACATTTATGTGAGTATGTATTTGTATGCTAATCTCATGTAGTCTAACTTTTGAAAGGTATACTTCACAAATGGAAGGAATATACAAAGGAAGTGCCAATATAGAACTACTGACGGGTTATGACTTCATGATAATTTCATCATGACATAGGAATGGGGTTGAATTTGTCTTCGAGAACTAACAAATCATATTAACAGTAGTGATAGTAAAGACATTTACGATAATACTTGAGGTTATAAAGTTATATGGAAGAAGATAAGGATGGAAGACTGTCATTGAAGTCAAAGGGGAAAAAGGGATTTAACCGAAGTGGAGTCAACATTCTGTTGTCTTTTTTAAGAAGTTGTTGTCTTTAGTTTATCGTCACTGACTAGACTGAATTGATCAGCTACTATTTGCATATGGGCTTCTGTGTGAATTTCGCTATATTGTCTGTGATTTCAGTTTGGTACTAATGATTGATGGTGACTAGCAGTTGAATGCAATAGACAGAAACAAGCGTCTAGGACTTTACTGCTAACAATTATACATCATAACCTTGGCTAGTGAATGTCTCAGCTACACATAACTAACGATGACTTACACCTTTGAAGTTTATCCACATCAAGGTAGAAGAATGTGTACTCTAGTCAGTTCAGCTAGAGGTAAGTCTTCATGTTTCACTTGCCTAAGGTTCTTTCTCTTCTCGTTCAGAATTGTAGAGTGAAAAACTGAATGGGGAAAATGTTGAAATAACTTACCTCATCTAATTCAGTCCTCTGACGTATTTGTCTAGACGCTACACGTGAGCCCACTGAACCATCTGTAGCTGTTGTGACGGCGGTAGTAGTGATCGGTGTAGTAGAAGTAGTGGTAGTACCAGTAGTAGTAGACTCAGCAGTCATCATACTAGTTGAACCAGCAGTTGTAATATCAGTGACAGAGAAGTTTCGCAACTGGTTCAATAACTTCCATTCATTGTTTGAAAAATTCCTTAATTCTTGATAAAATTCTTCCTTAGTTAACACTTCTAAAATGCACTGTAAAGTAAACAAATATAATAATTTTTTGAAAAAAAGCAGAGTTTATTACACATAATAATAATGTATACATCATTTGAGATGAAATTGTTCTACTCAGGCTACTTTTCAACTGACAAATAAATGACGCTGATAAAAAGTCGTTAAAATTCAGTCAACCATCAATCGAAGTCTACCGACCAAAGTAATCCATTTTCTTCCAATAACGCAGATAAACTAATCGAAAGGCTTATCAAAAGGAGGAAATTACTCTGAAATATTCTATCTCTTCTACTATCTATTCAAGAATGTACAGCTAAAATAATGATTTCGTTGAAAAGAAAATATTTTCTCCTCTGTAATCATTTTCTGTGTTTTCCTATAATCGGGAGGCATAAAACATTGGTAAATTTACACGATAGTAAAACAATACTTCTTCATAAGGTTATACAGTTTAAGGTGTCTAGTATGACATAGGATCGTAATGAAAGTAAACAATGAGACATTATAGACTGAATCTGCTTTGTTACACAAGTGAAAACATTTTAATTTCATCATTTGGACGTCGAAAAAAGCAGGCATTGGCTACGTCTACACAAACAGCAGTTTACTTTCATCAAAAAAGAAACCAGTTGAGGTGTAGAAAAGCATTAACAATTACCAATAGTAAAAATAATGTAGAAAACATTCTAGAAGAAAATTAACATTAAAATTCTACTGGTATCTGATTAGATCATCCAAACATTACGTCATCGAACAACGGTTTCCTTTATTCTTTGTGTAAGCAGAGTGAGAATCTTTCAAAATATGTTTGTTGTAGTGACATATAGACTTATATGTGTTGATCGACAGCACAGTGAATAAACTCACATGTACATATACGATCATACAAACTCGTTTTAGCACTTTACTTTGTGTTTCAGTCATTCTAAGATAGAAAAGTTGCCAAATGTTGTTGTTTTCTTCAGAGTTAATTTCGCTGGAATGAAAAGAAATTCAGGAGAATTAATACGTCTTTGACAACAAAGGCTGACATCAGTTGAGCAAAACCAGTCAACTATTATTGGACACAAGGTAATCAATGTATCCTCTTGAGAAAAATCATAGTCATAAACACTCATAATGTATCTTTAGGGTTGTGCTCAGGATACTTGGGGCTTGACAAGAGGGACGATCAGCATGACTGTTTTCAATCTACTCAATTTCTTCAGTAGTATTATCTTTCGCTAGTTCATAATACATTTGTGTTAGAGATCATACCTTGTGATCTTGGCTGGTTGGTTTCCAGAAGGAACCTTGTTGACTTCAGGAAAGGGAAGTTAAAAACCTACTCAGCTATGAAAATTGTCAACGTGAACCGACGAATTTGCAAATCATTTGCAAACTGACCATCCTCTTTTCAGTATAACAGACCATGCAAGCAAGTTAGCCAGATTTAGGTAATCTGATGAAATTCGGCTATATGAACTGAATTTGTCAAGGTACACCGACGATGGGCTGTATCCTAAACGAGCGAACCCGGGCGAACAAACATCTTCATCCACAGCAAAACACATCACTAATAGGAGTCGTGAGAATAATATTATTATGATTCATACAATTTTGCATCAAACTGTCAGCGATCCTTACTTAAGTTTCTTGAGCTGCAAGCCACATGCAAACTGAAGTCGCCTTGTATCTCAAAAAAAATATGCCCGTACAATAGACATACACCATATATGCAGCATATCCCATTGACAAGTTTGGCTTAAAATTTAATCATTATTCCTTCAACACCCGTTCGTATGATTTAACATCTTTCCATTTTCATGTGAAACATCCTGATAATTATAGAAGACATGAAGTGGCTACAGAGTTCCGATCACAGTTATCCTCGTAGCATTGCTCACATTTATTCTAACCACCACATGATCAATTTTGAATTCAGGCGAAGGATACTAGGAGAGATAGGCAAGTGGATTGATAAAGTTGTGAAACTTCATTGAGTGAGAATTACTTGAACATGTACTGAGCATGTCGAGCCACCAGCTACATCGATGTGACATGTTAGGAGAAGTCGGATTAGATTGGATGAGAGTTCAGGATGACAAACCGAAGTGTGGTACCAGTCCATGAAGTTCCCAACTATTGATGTGAGTTGTGTGGGGAGGTGTAGGTTGTGTGGTTTGGGTTATCGAGATGAAATGAATCAGTGATTGAGGACTGACTCCTAGTGACACGGTTGGAAATCAGTCACAACTGCACAGATCAGTTACTGCTTGACATCTTCTGAAGCTCAAATATTTGCACTAACTGTTATCGTCAAATTGCTTATTCTCTGACACAAGTTTATCTACTTTGATACCACTTCTTCTGTCTGCTTCTTTTCTGAACGCTGCTGTTGAAGTGTGAAAACTAGAACTTATTCACTTATACGCAAGTTTCTATATTAATTTTGTTAGTTAACTTTCTTCAATCCTTATCCTGCTTTAACTGACACCATTCGTCAAAGGAAACGGTGGCTTTTTATGTGTAACACACATTCTAACCCGTAGCACTGACCGAATACCATCAATAATTTATAGGGTGGTTTCCAAACCACAAGACTCAGCATCGTGGTGTTTTTTTTAGTGTTATCACGTGGTTAGACGCAATCAGTAAGAAGCCTAGAAGTTGAGTTTTTTTTATCATATTCACTCATCAGGAAGGCGTATCTGAAACCCTGCGAGAACTGGTTTACCCTAAAATGTTAAAACCAGCATCACTCGGTGCTGAAGCCAAATACGTTGCTACTGAGCTATTCACGTCACAACTGACCCATTGTTGAACTGATTTAAATATATTCATCAAAGTACACTGTGAAATTGAATTTACCACAAAATGACCCTTTGAATTCGGTCAGCAACCAAGAGTAGATAACATGTAAATAGATGCTCTTCCCCAGCCAATCAATGTATCCAAGCCATTCCTAAATGAGGTTAGAGACGGTCAAAAATATCTCAGTGATAACATACCTGACTGTAGTACTGGACGACTTAGGTTCGCAGATAAGCCTTATTGAAAGGTGTAAATAAATGAGGGACCTAGTTTCAGGACCCTAAGGTGAACATATTTGTTCTCACATTTGATCTCAAACTGCAAACTTCAAGAATTGACTACCATATCTGAAGGCGAAAAACAAAAGATTTCCAGTGTCTTAAACAGAAGTGCTTGTCCCATATACCAGAAGCCACTAGTTCTAATCGCCTTAAGAAAAAAAAATTCCTCCAACTGTAATTACCATCTTCTTGAATTAAATATTTTTGACCTTAACCTTCTTTACAGACATGCAAAGGTGGAAAACCAGGTGTGAAAAAAACTGTTCACCAAATGGTGGGCAAGATACACAATTATTCACCTTCTTGTTCTGTTTTTGCTTAAACTACTTCTAATTTATTAAGTTACTAACCGAAAAACATTTTATTAATTTTCAAGCGTAGGCTTGAAAATCACTGGCAGTTTTTAGCACTTCATAAAACTTGTTAGGAAATAAAAATCCAAATAAAGATATTCGTGATAAATACAATGATAAGGATAATCACAATAATATTAATAATAAACTGCAGCCATAAATAAAAATGGAACAGTAGCGAGTGTTTATGTCTGTTTTGAAAACTATCACACTTGTAGTGTGCCGCTGATAGGAGTGAAAGTAGAATTGTTATTGATACAACTAAATGAAAAGGTTTATTCAGTCTGCCCAATAAAATTCGGTTAGCACTCAGAATTAGACAATATACAATTGCTTGCTCTCCAGTGACCAATCAATTGATCAATACCAGTCCTAGAGGAGGTTAATCATAGCCCGAATGGCTCGGTGATAACGTCTTTGACTACAACTCAGGATGATGCAAGTTGGAATCTCATATAGTACATCAGTCCCCTCGAATGTACACATTTACCGTGCTAACAAATATACGTAAGCACGGCACTTAAGTCCACAGCTTCCCACCGATTGGATCTAACCATCTGACATCCATACTTGTAAATAGCCATCTGATTATTCGACAAAAGCTTTAGAAAATATCAAGCGTTGATTACATCTGCGCCATTGTCATTGATTTTCAGCCATATCACTAGGAGTCAGTCCTCAATCACTGATTCATTTCATCTCGATAACCCAAACCACACAACCTACACCTCCCCACACAACTCACATCAATAGTTGGGAACTTCATGGACTGGTACCACACTTCGGTTTGTCATCCTGAACTCTCATCCAATCTAATCCGACTTCTCCTAACATGTCACATCGATGTAGCTGGTGGCTCGACATGCTCAGTACATGTTCAAGTAATTCTCACTCAATGAAGTTTCACAACTTTATCAATCCACTTGCCTATCTCTCCTAGTATCCTTCGCCTGAATTCAAAATTGATCATGTGGTGGTTAGAATAAATGTGAGCAATGCTACGAGGATAACTGTGATCGGAACTCTGTAGCCACTTCATGTCTTCTATAATTATCAGGATGTTTCACATGAAAATGGAAAGATGTTAAATCATACGAACGGGTGTTGAAGGAATAATGATTAAATTTTAAGCCAAACTTGTCAATGGGATATGCTGCATATATGGTGTATGTCTATTGTACGGGCATATTTTTTTTGAGATACAAGGCGACTTCAGTTTGCATATTGCCATAGATGGTTGGCCACCACTTGCACAACTCAGTCTCCGGATCCAGCCTATTTCACACATGTCCCGCTACACTTAACTGACCATCTAGGTTAGTCCTCCCTATGCATATGTCTTCAGAAATACATTCACCTTCGGTTGAGTGAAAAAAAGCAATGATGATGACACAGTTACAAAAGATATTCAAAAGAGATAGTCTTGATCGAAACTGAATTCGGCTGAATGCTGTAAGAATGTGGTATAGACTGACTTTTAAGGCTATCCTTGCAGCTACTGTATTAAACAATTAGTCCATTTTAGTTTATGAAAAAAGCCACCTTTCTAAATGGAATAAAGAAACGTAAATTGTTGTTTCTGTGGTTGTCG